GAGTAAGTAGATAAGTAATTGTCACTAGTAAGTTTATTTCACTTTTAATCGGCTCCTAAATTTCGGCTGTTTACTCTAATAAAAATAAAAAGAAATAATAATTAATTTTTTTATTTTATTAGTATTAATATATATAATGGGCAAGAATTATAAAAAACATAATTTGTAAGAATGAAAATTATTAACAAACGTGAATAGAATAAGACAAGTAATATTAGACATAGATTATCTGTCTCATCATTACTCCCATCACAGTAGGGCGCCAAAAAATATTATTTAAATTTAAATGTTTTTTATTTACAAAAATTTATTTTAACGGATTAACCGATGGAATACTATGATCTGTTAGGTTGTAATAGCTTATACACCCTCTCATTTAAGTTTAAAACGATTTTTCCTAAAACTATTAGGCTATAGCTCATATTAGGATATAACAATGTATTGTTATTTGAAATATGAATTAAATATTAAAAATTGTGTCTTATAACAATAAATAATATTTATAAATACTTGTCAATCGCCATAAAAGAAGTACGTTTAAAAAGGCTTAGTTTTTTAATTTATTTGTTATTAATATTAATACTCATATACTCTTGGCAGTAATCATAAAAAATGTAATTTGTACGAATGTAATGATTTAACAAACCGAAATAGAATATGACAAATAACATTGTACATAGATTAGCTGTCTTATCATTGTTTCCATTACGGTTTGTTAATCCGTGTGCCGCGGAATATTATTTAAATGTAGAAGTTTTTATTTAGGTACAACAATTTATTTTAATTATAAAAATACATTAACCAACTTAATACTAAGGTCTGTTGTAGGTTTAATAGTTTCTATTTACCCTTACTTGAATATCGTTTCGATTTATTTATTTTTAAATATTTCTAACTATTTTTCTTTAGCGTGTGCGAGAATAGAAGGATCAATATAGCGATCAATAAGGATCAATATATTATTTGTTATTCATAACATGGATGAAATATTTCTCATTTAAATTTTTTTGAAAATTCTGATGCTTTACGTTAATATATCCAAGCAAGTTGTTAGGCTTTGTGTTGCCAATGTCTTCATTTGAAGAGGTTTTCTTTTCTTTTTTTATTCTTTCCTCGACCCTGTTGTGTATTAAGTTACCCAGAACGCCACTGCGCGTCTTTTTAATGTCGTGTCCTTATCGGTCCAATTCAAATTGTTGACGTATTTCTAATATGGATATAATTTATTATCAATAAGCTCATTGTTTTATTGTTTTAATCATGAAGACTAGGTATATATATAGATAAATATCTAGTTTCCATGGTTTTATTATTAATCAATTATCAATCAAGAACTTTAATAATAAAGGATAAATTTCATCATCTAAATACTTTTTTTCATTTGTTTTATTATATTTTATAACATGAATACATATTATGTACAGTATTGTCAGTACATATACGTACCTACCTGTAGTGATACAGTACCCTTTTTGTGAAATAACTTAAATCAACAAAAACATGACAAGTAGTTAGACTAATTTTAAATATGTCCTTCAATTTTGAATATTAAAAACAAAATGAAACAGAGAACATAAACGCGAATAAATAATTTTGACATGTCTGTCAAGCATCATTTGATGATTCAAAAGCAAATAAAATATCTATCCATGAACGATATGAACATAACGACCATGATGAAAAAATTTAACTGAATAAGGATGTTTTAAATTTTAATATACAGTCTGATGATTTGGATGACATTAATTTGAGTTCAAAGCAACCTAAATTTCAAATAAATAAAAAATACTTAAATAATAAATTAATTGTAATTAGAATAAAATAAGAAATAACTCGATTCTTGATTAATAATATAATATATTAAATAGTTTTAATATATTGTGTTACATTATATTTTAATCAATATTTTTATACTTTTATATTAATATTAATATTTTTTTCGTGTTCAAATTATAAATTTTAAAGAATTGTATTACTAAAATATAGTAGTATAGATGATTTTTATAACTTTGTTAATTATGTAGAAATGGTTGATGAATATTTCGATGAATTTGATGTTGAACAAATGCCAAGAAAGTATATTCGTATAGAAGACCCGTTTGAAAAATACAATGACTATACATTTTTGAAACGTTATCGTTTTCCAATACTGATTGTCATGGATCAGTTAGTAGATTTATTAGGTATTCAAGTCAATCATCGAGGATTGCCTATAACTTCCATTCAAGTTATTGATAACATTACGATTTTATACAATAGCAAACTTTTAACCAATCTAATTTTAATTTGTAAAAACTATTATTAACATTTTTCCTCTTCAAAAATATTAGGAGCATGGACGCGTTTATTTTTCTGAATTTCTTGTCATTATATAAAATATTTTTATTAAATTAGAAATCAAAATTAAATATACAAATTTAAAAATATTAATATTATTCGTTATCCTATGCATTTTCGGTAATATGAACATAGTTACGCTGATAACAATGGTTATTATCACATACACTTTACATAACTATTGAATACATAAATATCGTTTATGCAAAACCAACTTATGTGGTACATAAAAATAGTTACGGGTTACATATAAATATTATGGATCACTTAAGCAATTATATGTGACACATAACAACAGGACTATGCACACGAGCATAAGTCTGCAATCGGTGCGGTTCTGATTTCTTTTTTTTCAAAATCTCTTTCGTTCCTCTGCGAACTACAGTCAATGTAAATCGACCGGAAAATGTTATCGACGGCCGTGAGCGAACATTTATAAAGGAGGAAAAGAAACAATTCCATATTGCACAGGACAAGAATTATTTTTAAATAAGCATATGCACAGAGATAATTTAATAAATTTAACAATCAATAAATATGTTGACATTCGTATTTTTCACGAAATTAGAAAAATAAATGATAACAATATTAAGGAAAAACATACCCGAGCTAAGTTAACAAAGCTTATTCATTTTAGTCATGAGTAAATAATGTGTATTAAATATTGTCATTATACCGACTTATGGATCCAAATTGTGATTTATATATTTATTTAAGATTCGACATAGGTAATATCATTTTAATTATAAATTATAAGTAAATATAAGTATGATTTTGTTATTCAATATTAATATTAAAAATTAACATTAAATATAAAATATGATGAATAACGAAAATAACTGAATATAAAAAACACCTATTATAGTTATTGATTATTTAAATTTACAATTTGACATTTTGATAATTGATAAGAACCCTTGTAACCTCAAAATAAATATTTATTCCCGTGTGATAAGTTGTAATGGCCTATCCATTCTTCTATTATCTATGGGATAGGCCATTAAGTTAAAAAAAAATGTCATTTCACCTTTTGAACGTAAACTTTGGTACATTTTTATTGCATTCTGGAGCCCCAAAATGAAACCAACAAATCCAGTTTTTCTCGTTGATTCCACAATTTTGATTCCATCTAAGAATTGTAGGCCTTTAACGTATTTGATAAAATGTTGTATGTATATTTTGTAGTCGTCTAATGTTTCATCAGAAATAGCACGTTTGAATGGTGATTTCGAAAATCTTGATCTACTGTTTAGTATATCATATACATAATTAATAAAAGATATAAATTCTATTGTTGGCCCTGCTTCTTTGAAATCTTCATTTGTATTTTTTAAATAAGTAAGCGCATCAGCAACACTTTGACTCAATGTTTGAGCTGCTAATCGGACATTCATTTTATCATTGTGAAAATTAACATGTCTCTTGGTCAGTCTAGTCCCAGCTCTTAATCCCTGTTCCTTTTCTAATTCATACAGTTTTTTAATGTACATCCAATCAATAATCTCTCCTTTGGAGTTTTTAATCACCGACCTGTGTTCCCATGCATTTCTTATTAATTTCAGCATGTGAGCAGGATCAAAATAAATAAATAGTTTTTCATCTTATTTACTAATAATAAAAGCTCGAGGGTTCTTATGATCAAAATTAGCTCCTAATTCAGTACACATTCTTGTGTTTACACTTGCTCCATCAAATGTTATTGATTGGAGTTTAGCACCGGTATCATGTAATAAATGAATTCCTTCCTGTAATAGGTTAGCTCTCTTTACCTCCTAATCCATCAATAAGGAAATAAGTCAATGGCATTTTCCAGTAACCATTTATGCCTACTGCCAAAAACTCTAAAGCATTTTTTGCTAGTGGAATATCATCACTGTCATAAGAATACTCAGCTCCCATGTTAATATATCCATGAACATTTTTTTGACTATTAATTTCAACTTGCTGCCTAAAACACATCTCATCAATAACTAAATTACAATACATAGAGTGTTCTCCTGCTTCTTTTCTAATCGCTTCAAATGACTCTTATGTGAACCCAAGTTTACCATCAACCATCATAAACCATCTACGTAATGAACGGGGATGTGGAAGCAAATTATTAAATCTTTTCCTGACATATGTGTAAGCTTTTGGAGAGTAGTATTGGAAAGTAACAGCAAACTGTTTAAGTTCATTACAATACAACTGTTTTTTACCTTTCAAACCTCTTATAATAAATTGTTCCAGAACATCTGAACGTAAAGCCTAATATAAACAAAACAATCATGTAACTACATTAATATTTACTATACAATTAATAATATACATAATAATTATACATTAATTTTAGTAAAAAGGAAATATTTAATGGAACAAATACATTATGAGTATAAAACAATAATCAATAATAAAACCATTAGATTAAAACTAACACATTTTTCATGCAACACAACAACATACAAGTAATATTATTTTTACACTCTACTGCCCAAACATTTAATTAATTACAATTATTTGTATTGATACCTTCATATTATCAGCTGTAAAATCAGTTAATAAAGATTTTTGTTTTAAAACAGATAACATGTAATTTAATGATGTAATTTTATTTTCTAAACGTCTGTTTTTTTGATTTAAAATTTTGTTTTTCCTCCTCAAGTTTTGAACTGTTTTTTTCCATATTTTAAATTTCTTGATGACCGTCTTGGAGTTCCAAAATCAAAAGAAGTAAGATTGCCAATTCGACTAGTGTTATATACTTTCTTTTTCTTAAGATACCTGATAAAAAGTCAAACAATTTTAATAATATTACTAAAACTATTATTAAAATTATATAAGGAAACAAAGTATCAGAAAATATAACATATACAACATTTTACATACATATTTGGAAAACGCTCATGGGATGAATCTTCTTTTGTTTTTTTCTTAGGAGTTGAATATAAATAATCATTTGGACTCAGAGTGTCTAAAATTTTAATTAATAAAAAATTATTATTACATTGTTCATTTATATTACGTTATTCACATCTTAAATCACTTATCATCAATAATATTATACTATTATAAATTGTGATATATATAATACATACTTATGCATAGTTCTAGATGTAGAAGGAATGGGCGATATCATTGATAGATCTAGTTCTGGTATACTTTCAAATAAACTAAAATGTAATACATTAAAGAGTTGTAAATGACTTTAAACTAATTACTTTTCTAAATGAAGAATATTCTTACAGTGATGGAACAGCAAATGGTTTAAGTATCTTTCTATTAAGACTAAAATTATAGCAGTCTTGACCAAAATGATTACTACATACTGATTGGTTAGGTGTAGCCATTGATAAACCCAAGGCATCACACCATTTAAGCCTCTTTACTTTATTTTTCGGAAATCTAAACCAAAACAATTTGAAATATATTTTTGATATATTTTCAAATATGTATAAATGTATAATAACAACGAAAATACTCACAAATGAAATGATACGTTGCCTGTATTATCTTTAGAGGATACATGACAAACAATGCAAGTATGAACCATAGCTTGAAGACAAATGATAATTCGTACAGAATCGGGAATACTTCAATTTGTAAAAATGTTAAATAATTTTAAAATAAAATGCGTTAACAATAAAAATATTTGTTATCATCATAGATATCTTCTATTATCATTATGAAATAAAACTAATGATAAAACCCCTTGCTAAAGTGAGTGCACTATATAAAAGCAGTCTATCTCTCATCCACATTCCGGACCGCGACCCTTGTATTGTTAATATATGATTGGCCTATCCATTCTTCTATTATCTATGGCCTATCCATTCTTCTATTATCTATGGACGAATCCATGTCGTTACACTAATGACAATACCACATATCTACATTTCACCAATTGTTCAAGAGAGTGAAAAAACTGAATAAATATTAACAAAAATTATACACTTCATATTTTTATCAAATTTAAGTTATAATTATTTTTAATAAAATTCTTTAAATTTGGTTGGTTCATTGATTAAATATACATAGATATCTCATACAATGATAATGTATGGAAGCTCCTAATAACCGACCCGGGGGCATATTAGCATTCTGGTGTCGGTCTCGGCACCGGTTATCATTTTAGCTTTCTGATTGGTCGTTTGATTTTGCCACGCTTTTTAAAAACTGTTATCTGGTATTATGTGTTTTAACTCAACTTTTTGACTTATAATATTTTATTTAAAAAGCTACCAACAAAAATTCAAAAGTAAAAACTTTTTTAAAGATTATTTATACTCATACTTCATAATAGTATCATAAGTAATAAATAGGCATTGCAATTCGATAATATTAAATAACACATAATACTAGATAACAAGGTTATAAGTAACAGTTTTTAAAAAGCGCGGCAAAACCAAACGACCAATCAGAAAGCTAAAATGATAACCGGTGCCGAGACCGACCCCAGAATGCAGAGAATAATGCAGAATATGCATCCGGAACACCGAGAACAGCTGTATCGAAAACCCCCGGACGAGTGTACCGTAAACGTACCGTTAGACTCATTGATTTGCTGTAGATCTTCATATGCACCATTTTAGTTTAAAAATATTATTTGAATGGAGACGGACTTGAAAATGAACAAGAATCATTAACGAGATAAAAATTGAGAACTATAATTACAAATAAATATTTGTAAAAATTTTTGATATTTAACTAAATAATGTTATTTGTTATTACTTTAACACCGCGATTCGCATTCGCTACGTAACAGTAAAAATTAAAATAATTTAAAAAAAATATAATTACTTTATAATATTTATAATAATAATTATCTGCAGTAAAATGTTAAAATGTCCCGATTGTGATTGGAAGAGCATTATTATTTTTTTTTTCGCCAAGAAAATGGATAAATAAACCTTGTGTAATAATTTACTATTTACGGTTTTTGTTTTTTGTCCTTGACCAATCGGTTTTTTTGGTCTTCTTTGGCGCATTTTATGATTAACGATGATATTACTATTTATGAATATTATGTGCTATATATGTGTTATAAATGGGTATTAACTTGTTATCACAGTATATAAATAGTTTTTAAATATACTATTTATTTTTTACAAAACAAACATTTAAAAGTTTTATTTTGTAATACTGATCAATACGTGTTTTGTACTTTTGTAGTGACACGTCATTGTGGTTCATGAATATTACTATCTTGTTTCTGCACAGTAGAAAATACTTTAACGTTTTTTATTTAATTAATTTAAACGTTTTGATGGTGTGCGTCTATAATAATTATATAAATGTCTCAAAAAAGTGGACACAAGTGTTTATATTTCAACTGTGGTAAAAGTGGACAAACCTTAAATAGTCTTAAGCTCTACCGATTTCCAAAAAACCCAAAACTTCAACAACAATAGGTTATAAATTCAGGTAAAATATATTTTAAATTATAAGTTATAAAAAAAATATTGTTAGATACTTACTCAAAACGTTTTTTAAATATTATTTTTTTTAAACTAATTTCAAAAATACATTCTGGGCTTTTAAGTTTATTAAATAATAATAAATTAAACTATTATTTTTATAATTTTACAATATTTGAAACTACTCTAAAAATGAAATAAAACATTTTTTTAGGCAATATCGACCTCATTCATTTAGAAACTGCTGATTTGTATAAAAACATATATACATGAATCATTTTTAAGATTTTGACTTCAACAATGATACTAAAAAATATTTAAAAAAATCAGCCATTCCAATACCATATCAAGAAAATGCTTTTTTCCACGTCCGTACTCCAATAAAAATGTATTCATCTAAAATTTTAAGGTTAAACTTTAATCAATGGTTGGTGTTTAAAATTTAGTGTGGTTACTTAGTATTCACTAGTTTTCGTGAGATACTTGCTATTGAGCAGTGCATGGTTGAAATTTATAAAAAATACTAAATAATTTATCCAATTTGGAAGGGAAATAATTTATTTTAGATTATTGTACAGAAAATAAATTTTGTGCGCAAGGAGATAATAAATATTTAGATACCAATACCTCATTTTATGTAAAATTTCAGATACGTGGTATTGTCTTTAGCGTAACGATGCCTAGTGTTGGCGCAACTCTGTTGGGTCGTTACCGCTGTATTCGGTATAATTTGTAGTATACCACAGACTAGATAAGGTACAGTTGATATTTACTGAAGCTTGGCTTATCAGTTTCCGCCATTTTGTCGGTTGGCAAAACATTGAACATTTAGTTTACATTTACATTTAGTCCTGTGCAGCATTATATTGAATATTCTTTTACAATTGATTATTTATTATTTAATAGAAAATTGTTTTTCACTCGTACAAATATCTTTTAAGCTATAAATTTTCTCAGGACCGTTTAGAGATATTTTTTCTCTAAAATTCGTCAGCGTTTTGGTAATAATAATAACCTTATTATAATAGAATTTAAATCATCTATGAAACAGTTGTTTTTTAAAAATTCCATCTCTTCATCTTACGCTGCTAACTGTATTGAAATGAACAATAGTAGTGTTGAAAATATATTTGAAATACGCTGGTCAAAAAGAAATTCTGATGATTTATTAAACATTGAATATGAAGAAGAATCAAATCTTTCAGATTTTTTGATAAGTGAGACTGACCAATCCAGAATTATTAAGGATAATATTCTTTATTATATTACTGGTTTTATTGTTAGAAAGTTACTTAAAATAATTGATTGTTCAACATGTGTAGACAATCTTATAGAACAATTAAGTGAACATAACTATAGTCATAAACATGTCTATTCTGTATTGACTGATGTGAAAAATGGAGGTGGATTATTAAAGAGTTCAAAAAATGTTATGAAATTAATTAAATATATTGAAAATTCTTTAATCAAATTAACTAACAATTTTACTTCTCTTATATCTGGTTTATCTGCAATAATAATAATTTCAACCAAAAATTATAATTATAATTTCAATATCTTACAAAATATGACATGTTCCGATCATTCATTTTTAGAAAATCATAGATTAGATTTAGTAATACTAATCTGTAAGGAATATTTAAAAATACGTCTACATCATGTTGCCAAATCAAAAACGTCTTCTATTGTTAGTAAACGGCGACAATTAACCAAATTAGTATTATTTAGTAATATGTGATTGTATACTGTGTATGTTTTAATAATAAACTAATATGTATATATTTGTGATAAACATTGTTTTCTTTTTCCTTAATTATATTTGGTTTAATCCTTAAATTTTCACATTATTTAAATCTGATTTAATAAAGAAATATCAAGAAAATAAGTATTTGATGCATATAAAATAATAGATTTTGTTGCCAACCGACAAAATGGCGGCTGTTCACCTTATCAGCTTCACTCATAGCCATGTAAATTATATAGTAGTTACTTATCTAGTGTAGTATAGAAGTCTGTGTAGTACACAAACCGATTAGCCACGTGGTGGGGATTTGCTTACGCAATAGACTGCGGCGAAACGACACGTCCTGAATTGGTAGACAAATATAAATAATTCTTGAAAAATTTTTATCGGAAATTGACGAAGTTATCGTTCTTTCTGTGGAATCGTTCCAATCGATACAGTTACAAGAAAGTACAGATTCCAAAATACTCGTTACATCGGTACAATTTTTTTTTTTTAGTTACATTTGTACTCGGATTCGTTTAGTTCGCACGGAACGATAAAGTGCACTTGACTTCTCGTTCATAATGGACATTTAGGAACGAATACGCTTCGTGCGCAGATTACTACACAAGTACGTAAACCGATCATCCACACGACGGAGGACTTATTTACGCTGTATACTTGCAATACAAGTGCGGGCTTTGTCATTTGAAACGGTGTTGGAATCTCGCCTCACTAGCCTAGCATTTTAGCATTAGCTGTACAACAGTGGTTCTCAACCTGGGGGCGCGCCTAGGGATGCGTGATACAATTTCAGGGGGGTGGCGTGAAAATGTTGAAAAAGAAAACAACGTTGCCATTTTCTACGCCATGCCTTGCTGCTGTGTTGGTCGGCGCTGTGGTCGATTTTTTGATGCAAATAAATTCATCTAATATTAAAAAAACTTCATTGAAGTTGTATTCTTATTAATCCAATTACCAACATTAAAGCAGGGACTGCCATTCTGGTTCTCAATAACTTTATTAAAAGGTTTAGGTTCGGGTTCCGGTTATTGAAAAATACAAAATAAAGGTTCGGATTCGGGTTCCTGTATTATAGGGTTCTAAATAAAATATTTTAAGATTTATTCCGTAGTATTTTTTGATACATATTTAAAAATGACATATAATATATTATATATTATGATACCGGTGTTATGGCATTGTACTAAGCAATATGGCATAATATACTCGTATGAAAATGTCTCAAAATGTCTCTCTTCAACTTATTTATATATATTATATACTTATTCGATTCATTATCGATCATAGTCATAACGATACAATAAAAATAAATATATCAATGCACCAATGAAAATACAGCGATTTCATGATTGCTGTACAGTAAAATGTCATGTTAGGTTCGGAATTTCCCTTTAACAAATTGGTAAACGTTGTTATTTATAATTATTTTAGCATAGTTATAAATAATCACTGTTCAAACGTTTGAAAAAAAACGGGATTCGGGTAGTCATAAATTATATAAATATTACAAGATAAGATAGTTGATGATAAATTTGTAAATTACATATTATATTTCAACATATTAATTATGTTATTTATATTTATTTCATATAATGTAAGATTAAATCAGCGTCTGGGAAGGGTTCATTCCCCATGGACGCCCCATCATCCCGTAAATCCGCCACTGTTCATGATAAAACCTTCGATTTTACAGTCTACATCCTATTATTTTTAACTTTATGGACGAATTATTAGAAAAACAGTTAGGATATAAGAAAAATTACGATGCAAAAACCAAAAAAAGAAAAGTATGCTCGTTAAAAAACATAACGTAAGGAGTAAATG